CAGGTGCTGGACTCTCTCTCTCTCTCCCTCTACAACAATCTTGTCCACAAAGATTTTCTCTGTATGAAAAATTTTTTGGATCCCAGATGTCAGTCAATACCCATGTTATATAAGACTCGTCCACAACAAAATTTGCAATACAATTATTTTGTATGGTCCCTTGAATTCTGCTGTAGAGAGAGTCCAGCAGTAAAAAAAAACTTTTTTTTTGAAGTCCTCATCAGAGGTGTCTTGCATGATCAAGGTAATTTCAAGGTATTTTACTTCATAACTGAGGCCAAGGTGAATTAACAATATAAAAGATGAATTCAATTAGAAATGTTTCAAATAAGAAAAGGGAAAAGCAGAGGATAAAACAAACCAAAAATAATGCTGACAAAGAGCAGCAGCCCAGCAAGCACAGTATTGGCCAAAAGAAAAGCACCTCCAATGAAAATCGGGTCTGAAATCACATTCCCCATGGTGTTACTGACGTAGACCCATTCATTTGACGCTAAGAATATCTATCAAAGAACAAGTTGAGTATGTTGAAGGTTATGGCTTATATGAGATAATTTTTTCTCAAATAGCTGCACCCTGCTTAGTTGTGGATAGAACGGCTTGCTTTAATTTTGCATACGGCTTTCTAATTACATTATCCAACAGCATCAAATTTACATTCATAATAATTCAGATAGGTGGTACTGAATTATGAACCAACATGGCTTGTGTGTATCATTAAAAAAACTATACAAAGGACCCTCATAGTCAACAAACTACTTGGTTAACAAATGTTTTGGCTGAGAAACTTTTTTCTTTGTGGAAAAATCACTGTTAACAAACCAAAATGTGTTTAACAAACATTTGCTCCAATATAAAATATCTGAATTCAATAATTCCAAATTTGAGGATGACTGTACAAGTTTAAAGTGCCATTTGATTGCAGTTCAAATCAACACTTGAAGCCGAAAAATTATTAGGCAGACTAAAGGCTTTCACAAAATTTCAAATATTTTTCAAAATTGTACGAATTAGGGTTTGCTTGTTGTTTGAGCAAAGTTGTTTGAACAAATTATATCCAGCAACAAGAAGCCGGGGAAAAAGCACTTTAAAACTGATTTTTCTATAGTTTCTACAGTTCAATTTCTGAATTTTTCTTTACATAATCTGTGTTATTACAATGCTAAAAGTGTTACAATATTAACATTCGTTTCTGGTGGCATATTATCCAGCTCGCATGTGAACTTGTTTCTAGATGCAAAGCTTTCTGAATCCTGTTTCAATTATTTATCATAGTCCCTTTGAACCCTAAAAAAAAAACAGTGTAAACTTACAGAGCATGTAACAATAACTAATTCTGATTCAATATTTATCCTGAAATTCTTGGATTAAATTTGCAATTTCATTTTTGTTGCCAGGAACGGATTAATTGATTCTCCATTCAAGTCTTGGGGAAAATCAAATTTAGGTAACAAACTTTTGGGTTGATCCAGTTTTGTCTGCAACCAATCAAGTTGGGTAACTCAGGGTCCACTGTACTGCAATTGTACTCAACTCCCCCACCCCCCTCCCTCCTGAATAATTTAGTCTAAATAGTTCAGAATAATAATGTATGAGAAAGTAACTCTCATATAGTGTTCTTCATCCTGTCCTTAACCCCATGCCTCTTTGGTTTACCTTTCGGAAGTCAACCTCAACACTGCCTTGGTTACACTGAGCACCTGTCCTTCATTTCTTCCCCAAATACTGTACATATACCAAGAATCTAGTTCAGAATGTGTAGCCAACGCTCTCCGTGGTACAGCCTGTCTTTCTTCCATTTCCCCTACCTCGCTATATGCCTTTTTGGATTATTTTTCTTCATGTTGACATGCTTTCTGAATACTGTATTGGAGTATTGCTGGTTGATCTGTCCTTCCCTTTTATTTTTACCAATACGGTATATTATTCATTCCTGCTTGGGGACAGAGGAAGGGAGCGCTTCTGGCTGGACGAGAATCCGAGGGCGTGTTCGCCACGCGGCACACAAGGGCTGCGACGAGTTATCAGTGCTGTTCCAGTTCGTGGCTGTGTAGAGCATATGATGAAATTATTGCAGTGCACAGATTTTGAAACATTTCATTTGTAAATTTTTGTAAATTTTATCACTACATATTGGGTATATGTCATGCTCAGGAATGGGCTTTTTTCCTAATTTTAAGACCAAGAAACAAGGAGCACCACTCAAGGGCATTTGGTATCACCAGAAATACAGTACAAGTACAGTATGTTAACTGATATTTTATTCAGAAAGCTATACTGTTCCACTTCTAATTAATCTAGCTTTTTAATCTTCATGGATAAATTCACTTATTTTGTCATCTGGGAATCAGGGCTTATTTTTGAAGCAGAAATAATGCTCTGGCAGAGGTATCTAGCAAAAGCCCCTGAATGGCCTTTTCCATTGGGATGAGTTTACTATAATATGCCTGATTATAGTGGGTTCAACCCTTCTGCGGCAAAGGGTTCTTTCACATTGCAGGACTAAGTTGGGATTCTCTTGGGTGGGCTCACATTTCATTTTATTGAAGGCCATGAAAGCCAAGCCAGGTGGCCTAGGGCAAAGTCAGGCTTTGTCTGGCAAAAAGGTGTTGCTAATATTTCCCAAAGTTGGACTTTTTCCACTGATTTTTTTTTGCCTCTGAATGCTGGGAATCCTTCTTATGTCTCTCAAAATGAAAGGGTTGAGGATATCAGAAGAATTCCAATAATCCAGAGAAAGGCTTAAAAAAAAGCTCAGCCTTGGTGATGCATTTTTCAAAATTTATTTTGAGCAAAATTTTTCAGAATTTACAAAAATTCCCCAGGATTTTGCTGGACTTTGCACTGGGTGAACTGCTGCTCTTTTTGTAAACTCTGTTCACACCAACACAAAAGTTTGCAGAAAAAGTTCAACTTTGCTGCCCAAAGGTTAAAGACTGTTGATAGAAGCATGTAATTATTAACGTTCATCAAAGCAAAGCTGTTTTCATTGGATTGTGCGCATGAATTAACTATTGTATCATGTAATCCTTTTTGGGCCGAAAAATATTGCCATTCCTCAATTTTCCATTGAATAATTTGGCATATTTTCAAGCCACGCCCTTACACTTCTGAGCCCAGTTCATTTGGTTTATGGTTGAAGGAAAATTGAGCAGTCCGTATAGTTGAGAAAATAAACACGAGGCATGGAATGATGACAGTCCTTATACTCACAGAGACACAGGTTCGAGTATGTGTGAGATTCCGCGTTTCTTCCACATTGTGAGTGAGTCGCGCAGTGGAACAGCATCGAGTTTTCCTTTGATTATGTCGTGGGGGGAAAGGTTGTAACGCCGAGCACAGAATTCGTTTTCCTTGACTTCTTATTCCCTCACGTTTTCGGAGGGCATGTGTTGTTGAGCCCGGATCCAGCTGCATGCTGGCGCAGAGTTTCTCAGCTCCGTTTGTGCCTCGTGTGAAGAGTGAAGACTGAAGAAACAGTTTCAGATCGGTTACGGAAGTGTTCCTTTTTTTTTCGTCAACGTCTGGAAGATTCCATCAAAGTGGGCTCGCGATTCTCGTTAACCGTCCAAAGAGAGAGGAGTGAAAAAACTGGTATTGTTTTCCAGGGTATCGCAGAACTCGGGGATTGTTCAAGGATTGATCGAATCCTTTCCTTTTGGATTGATTGGAAGCGTGGAAATTATTTGACAGAGAAGCAAAATGCCTGAACAGGGGTCGCTGAGCCATCATACACCGGACATCGAGGTCAGCCTTATTTGAATATATTTAATATTAAAAAAAAAAGATCAAAATCAGGAAATTGTTTTGTACGAATATCGGATAGCATTATGGTTGGTCGAATTACTGTATTCTCACCCCGAGTGACTTAAGGTAGCTATAAATGTGAAATACCAATTTATTTTATATGGGCTTTTTAATTATTATTAACGTTACTGTATTAACTTTTAGAATCTCTTGGTCCTGAACCCGAAAACGTCGCAGTTTGCGAATTGTGTCCCGAGCAAGACGACGAAGCACGAGAAGAAACATTGGAAGCGAAACCACGACAAGTCCTGTCATGTAAGAATTTTTTTTCAATTTCACAATTTTATTATCCAAATGCAGCAATTGATCGTTTCAAAAGTATTAGGACTACAGTAGCCGTCAATTGTAGCATTTACCTCTGGCTGATATGGATAGACTATTTCCTAATTTACAAAACTGAGAGAAAAATAAATAAATCCCGGAGAAATCTGGATTATTTTTGGTATGCTTCAGTCAAGATTTATGTAGGAAGATTTATTTTTCGGAATCAATTACAGTAATATGCATTTTTTTCTTTTTGGGTCAGAATTCATAGGTCTTCAAGCCTTTTACAATTTTTTTCTATAAATAAATGAATGACTTGATTTAGTCAATAAGTTGCATTTGTATTTCTCACTAGCATCCAGAATTATCATTGCTTGAATATATTATCCAAATTGCAGTGTAAGTGCAGTGGGGCCTCTGTTCACATACTTGATCCATTCCTGAGCAAAGCATTGTTAGCCAAATACTGTTCAGTCAAACATGTGTAAGTTGAATTTCAAGGGACCATCAATACCATTTTATGTAGTGAGGTTTCAACTTGGTGAGGTTTTGAGTTAGGGTCAGGAAATACGCATTGCTGATGTGGGAAAGAGAATATTTGCCAGAAATTATAACTGGCAATATTCTGGGCCTTGCATTGCTTCCTGAATGAGTTGACAGAGGATGCTGTACTTGGATCCATCAAGGGTTCATTTGCCCAATTAGTCTTTCATACTTTCATTCAAAAAATTGATCAAATCCCATTTTTCATTGAATTTCTTTTACCTGGGGCAAGAAATGAATAGCCAACAGCCCTCATAAAATTTGAGTTAGGGTGGTTTGATAGAAAAATATTGAGTTGAAGAGATTTTAATGCATTGTTTCAAAGGGAACCCAGATGAGGACTAAAAAAATTGACTTAGGGATGTTCAACTTATTGAGGTTCAACAGTAGTTTGTCAACAAAATCCCATCTTTTCTTAAGAAAGTACAGAAATAATTTTAATTTGTTCCAGAACCATGAAATTCAACTTACAGTGGTGCAACTGTACTTCAGTGCAATATATGCAATAGGTGGAGGCTCTCTACAACATTCCTGTCTATAATGATGTCCTCTGTATATGAGGAATTTTTTGGACTCATATATGGGGTTCTCTCTTGATGCATGTTACATAGGGGGTTCAAGAGTCTCTCTACAACAAATTGTTGCTGGTCCCAGGAATTTAGTTTTGGAGAGGGTTCACTGTTGTACTGTAAATGCATGACTAAATTTTTGGAGGATTGCAACGAAAATGAATCGGGAAAAGGAAATTACAAATACTGTACCTGTGAATGGCTTCGCGCGCACGCCGCGAACTTTTTTAAAGCGTTCTATCTCATTGGTTCTTTATTCCCTCTATTCATGGGAAAGTACATAGACGGATTGTGCTGAGTGAAGGAAAATTTCCGCGCTTTTTATTTTGGTCTTATCAGAGAGCGGAATCAAAGTTCAAGAACTTCGACGACATCAAGCATACCACTTTGAGCGAGCGAGGTGCCTTGAAGGAAGCCGCGAGATGCTTGAAATGTGCTGACGCTCCGTGCCAGAAATCCTGTCCAACGCAGCTCGACATCAAGGCTTTCATATCGAGCATCTCTACCAAGGTATTTTATTATTATTGAAATTTTTGATTCTTTTTCGGCGTGCGACATTTTAGAGATATATCATGTACAGTATATAATAGCTTGGGTTGCCTACGTTAATTTTTACTTGATGATGAATGGGTTGATGTGAAAGCAAGTTCTTCTGGTTCCAGACTTAATATTTGAGATAACGAAAATTCTGAATTTCTTCATGGATTTAAGAGGCGATTTATTCAGTTATTATGACTGTAGAAAAATTTATGACAAGACCACACTGTTTCAAGGTTCTGGGATTTCTTTTCAGATTTTCGAAAAGTTTTAAAATTTACTGATGAGTGAATATTTTCCAGTTACAGCCAGTTCTTCGTCCCCGATGTACAGGGTGCTAAGAATTTTTCGGGCAGGCTAAAAAAATTGAAATTTCAATTGTTTTAACACGAAAAGTTTTAAAATTTACTGATGAGTGAATATTTTCCAGTTACAGCCAGTTCTTCGTCCCCGATGTACAGGGTGCTAAGAATTTTTCGGGCAGGCTAAAAAAATTGAAATTTCAATTGTTTTAACAATCAATGTCTTTTCTACATCTTGTGAAATTTTCAAAATTTTTTTGTTGACATCAAATGGAAATCCAAAACGTTGTGCTGCTTTTTCAATAAGAGCAAAGGTTCATTTTCAATGTTTCTTCAGAAACATCATTTCAGCCAGTGACATTTTGCTTATTACCTTGAGATTTAAAAAAAAACTTTGGTTTACAGCAGTCATATTCATTCGTGAAACAGCCTATGTCCCTTCCTAGTGGAACAACCCTGTATTTCTTCATGATTCATGGATTCTCCGGTTGATGTCGCTACCCAGCAAATAATGGGGGCGTTGGGCTGTGAACCATTGAGAGAAACAGATTGCCAATGAGTTCTGCAACCCATTCTCTCAATGGTTGGGATTTTGAGCTAACGCCCCCTGCATGTGTGCATTTTGAGGGAAGCGTTCCAGGAAGCATTGAGAGTCCATTGTGAACACTGTTTGGGATGAAGGCCATTCTGAAATGCATTGCTGGTGTGTTTTGGAATGGTACACCCAATGTTGTGAGCAATAATATCTGCACCCTGTTGAGAGCATCATTCAAGAATGCAGTGCCAACCTGTTTGGCAATGTAGAAATGTGGAGGATTGAATTAATAATATGCTGCATATATTATATACAATAATATATTTATTATATTAAGATATTGTAAAACGAAAAGTTTTAAAATTTACTGATGAGTGAATATTTTCCAGTTACAGCCAGTTCTTCGTCCCCGATGTACAGGGTGCTAAGAATTTTTCGGGCAGGCTAAAAAAATTGAAATTTCAATTGTTTTAACGATCAATGTCTTTTCTACATCTTGTGAAATTTTCAAAATTTTTTTGTTGACATCAAATGGAAATCCAAAACGTTGTGCTGCTTTTTCAATAAGAGCAAAGGTTCATTTTCAATTTTTCTTCAGAAACATCATTTCAGCCAGTGACATTTTGCTTATTACCTTGAGATTTAAAAAAAAACTTTGGTTTACAGCAGTCATATTCATTCGTGAAACAGCCTAGGTCCCTTCCTAGTGGAACAACCCTGTATTTCTTCATGATTCATGGATTCTCCGGTTGATGTCGCTACTCGATAGAAGAAAATGTCTTTGACACTGAGAGGGTTCATCATTCAATTAAGCGATGTTAAATTCGAAGTAAATCGACTCGAGATTAATTTCAGTGATATTTTTCCATGCGCTTTTTTCCTGACTCTTATGAAAGTGAACTTCATCTCTGCCAGCAGCAATAAGTAAGAATATTCTCATAGTCCTGGATCGTAACGCGTTTTTCTTAATTTTTAAGGGTTCAGACGATGAGGTCTTATTCTTTTCTTCCGTTCATAAATTTTTTTAGTGTTTGTTCAAAATTTTGTGAAGATATACATTTCGAAAAAATTAAAAAAGAATTAGTTAGATGATTATCATTTTTTCTTCTTAGAATTACTATGGAGCAGCTAAAGCAATCCTGAGTGACAATCCACTGGGTTTAACGTGTGGCATGGTTTGCCCTACGAGCGACCTCTGTGTCGGCGGCTGTAACCTCTACGCTTCGGAAGAAGGTCCGATCAACATTGGCGGTTTGCAGCAGTTTGCCACCGAGGTAAATAACTCACCTATCAAGACAAAAATCGCATGATGAACGTAGTGGTATTTCATGATAAACTTTTTCCTGATAATTGATGCTGAAAAGTGGAATTTTTCGCCGCTAATTTTGAATTCGTTATTGAGAAAAATTTTGAAGGTACAGTATTTTCTATTTATGCTCAAAATACGGTTTATCGAGAAGTTTGGCTGTTTATGCGACTGCAGAGCTTGAAGTCTTAAAATATGTGCAGTAAATTTGTAATTCAGTATGCTATTTCTACAAATTTAAATCCTTTTGAGTTTATTTACTATACGTTCTTAATAATTCTCAAAAATTGCGAAGAATATAGGCCAGCGATTGTTACATCGTAGAAATCATAATGAAAGATGAATTCTACGACATGACACGCCTTCGAAAATATGTTCATCAATGAACTTAATTTGAAAATATTGCCTTTTTCCGTCACGATAATGTCGACCTTTTATGTTTTCCAAAGGCTGAAAATTCATGAAGTGAGTTTTCAATAATTCCTCAACTTCAATTAGCTTGAAGATCAGGGAAAAATCGTATTCCATATTTTTGGAATGGACGTGGTCATGTTCAGAAATTCGAATGAACGTCGCTATTTCCGCCACTTCTTCTGTTCGCTAATTTTTTTTTTTTTGCTTAAGCATTCTTGACGAAACTTTTTTTTTGAATGATTCAGGTGTTTAAAGCTATGAACATTCCACAAACGCTGACACCAGCTGTGGAGCAAAATTCGAATCAACCGTCGTACACTGAGCCAAAAATTGCACTCATTGGCTGCGGTCCTGCGTCAATTTCATGCGCATCATTTTTGGCACGTTTGGGCTACAAAAATCTGACAATTTATGAGCGTCAGGATTACGTTGGTGGACTCAGGTGAGTTGGATGCAACTTAGAAAATTATATTCGAATCATAATTTTCTGCATCTTTGGTTTTTTTTGTGCCAAAAGTTCTGCGGAAATTCCGCAATACCGTTTGCCATACGACGTTGTAGATTTCGAGCTCACCTTGATGAAGGACCTTGGAGTGACTGTTGAGACTGGCAGGAGTCTGTCCACAGATGATTTGACAGTCATGGTCAGTTGATGAAACATTTCTGCAATTTTTAACCCATTTTTCTTTCAAAAAAATTCCGCTATGACGACTTTTGCATCTAAAATTTGTTTTTGTTTAGTCCCGGCAGGGATTGGGTAGTTTTTTACTTGTCAAAAAATACAAATTTAATGAAGAGCAAAACAACGATAATTTTGCAAAAGAAAAAGTCGAGAGAGAAATATGCAGTACAGTATATTAATATTCTTCACTGATGCAAACGCCAAATTTGAGCAGGAAATGCTCTAAGTTTTGACCTTACTTGAAAAAAAAAATTTAAGGTCCGATGTAAAAATGTATGCTTCAGTGTTGAGAAGAAAAAGTGAAAAAATTTTTTTTCGAAACGTTAAGGCAACGTTATTTTATCAACGAATATATGCAGTATAGAACGAACCTGTAAACGCGTCCATCAACCGGATTTGCCTTCTAAACTCTACTGTACTGTGCTGATTTTTTTAAATTTTTTTTCTTTTTACAGAAGCTGAAAGGGGAAGGGACTGATGCGATTTTCCTTGGATTAGGTCACCCAGAACCGAAAATCATCCCGGCGTTTGAGGGATTGACTCAAGAGCAAGGATTTTTCACGTCAAAAGACTTCTTACCCGTTGTTTCATCTGCCAGCAAACCAGGTGAAATATAATGAGAAGAAAAAGCGAAATACTGTGTATGATTTTTAATTTCATTTTACGCTCAGGTAAAATTAGGGAGTGGCGAAATTTCCATGGGAGTTTTCACAATCGACACTGTTTTTGGCAGGAAGAGAAAAAAAATGAACTTTTTTCAACGCAAGCCTGGTTTTAAAAAAATTACGTTTTCTTTTCAAATTTTCAGTGCTCATCATTTTGTAAAAGTATCCTGACATTGCTGCGGAAGAGATGCATTCCTATAAATGCTTCTTTGTAATTTTCAGAAAACTTTTCTGCTGGAAGAGAAAAAAAAATATTGGACTTTTTCCTACTCAGGCTTTGGTTAAAAATTAGGTTTTCCTTTTTAAATCTTCAGTGCTCACCATTTTACAAATATATCCTGACATTTCTGCAGAAGGATAACATTCCTAAATGCTTCCTTGTAATTTCAGCCAAATTTTCTGCTAAGAGAGGACAAATATTGCACTTTTCCCTACTTAGGCTGTAGTTAAAAAATTAGGTTTTCTTTATAAAATTTCAGTGCTCACTCTTTTGCAAAAATATCCTGACATTGCTGCAGACGGATGACATTCCTAAACGCTTCCGTGTAATTTTCAGCCAAATTTTCTGCTGAAACAGAAAGAATACTGTATTGGACTTTTTTCCTAATTATAGGCTTTGGTTCAAAAATTAGGTTTTATATTTAAATGTTCAGTGTTCACTCTTTTGCAAAAATATCCAGACTTTGCTGCAGAAGGGTTAAAGTTCTAAATGCCTCTTTCTTAGCAAGATTCTTCTTTTTCGTCAATGTTATTATTATCATTATTATCATTGCCTTTTTAATTAGGAATGTGTGCCTGCAAGAGCAACAGCTTGGCATTGCCCAAACTCCATGGCAGGGTCATTGTTCTCGGAGCCGGGGACACGGCCTTTGATTGCGCCACTTCTGCCCTTCGATGCGGCGCCAAGAGAGTCTTCGTCGTTTTCCGCAAGGGCTTCACCAACATCCGAGCAGTTCCTGAAGAAGTGCGTCGATTTATTCTATCAATGCCAAATTTTAAAACGAAAAATTTCATCATACACTAGAGATGATTCCAAATTATCGCGACTATTACCGCGTAAGAAAAAAGGAGAAAAATTGGGTTTAGAGGGTACGCAAAACTTCTGACATAGAATTGTTGACATCAGTGTAGCGAAAGAAGAGCAAGATAGACATTTGCGAGGTTCGCAGGCAACGATTTTTATATTATGCTTTGAAAATTAAGGTGATTTAATACGTGAGCCAGCACAGGTTTTTAAAACCCATCAACCAAAAATTCCAAAATATGAACGATTCTTTTCCCCCGCCAATAGATACAATTTCATGTAGGTTGTACATATCCTTGCTTTCCGCCAAAGGAAAACTGAGATTCAAAAATAATCCGAAACTGTACCGCTAAAAAAAAAGCTGCATCACAAAGGAATAAATTCAAGGTTATGAAAGCGGAAAATTCGGGCATGCAAATTCGACAGCTGTGCAAAATTTGTTTGGCGGCAAAGGACGCCGCCACGAAAAAAGAGGGGTCCGTTGACTTGAAATTTAATCGGCGCATCTCGGGATGCGCCGAAAAAGACAAGAGTCAGAAAATTTGTCTCCCCAAAAACCGGGGCAATCGGAGCTGGTACAAAATCCTGAAAGGGAGAAGAAAGGGGCACGCCAAAAAAGAAAAACTATCCCCGGAACCGGGGCAATCCTAGCCAAAGACAAAAAATTCAGCAAAAGGAAAACTGAAAGAAAAAACCTTTCCCGGGAATCGGGGCAATACGAGCCGATTGTAAAAATTGGCAAGCTCCTTTAGAAGAAAGAAAATTGCTTCCTTCCCATGAAAAACGTACTAAGAAACAAAAATCCTAACACTACCATCTGCTGGTAAAATGGGAAAAAATATATCGTCTTTCATGTAAAAAAATTTATCTCTAGAGTGAAAACAACTCTAAACTGCCCAAAATTTTGCAGTTCCCCAGAAAACCGATTCCTTGAGGATATTAGTTTACTGCAGAAAAAAGCCCCTCACTTCCAAGCTAATAAAAACGACACCCGGTGCCGGGAAAAACATGTACGACACCCGGCACCGGGAAAAAACATGTTCAAGAAAATCGGAAAACAGCACTAAAAGTTGTTGTCAACTGCCAACATCTGGCGCTCTGAAAACGTTTCAAAATTTCGAACACCTGGGTATCTTTTCCATCTTCGAAAATTTGCGCCAAAACAGGGGAAGAAAATTACATAAAAACCCCCGAATTTTACGCAACACACCCAGTTGATCTTTGAAGGAGCTGCGGATATTTTACGCGAACGTTGAAATTCTTAATTTGCGGACTTGTCCAAATTTTGGCAACCTTTGCGGACTTAACCAAAATTCGGGAACTGTGTGAATCTTTACAAAAATTGGAACCTTTGAAACTTTTTGAAAATTGACTGAAGTGTTGTGTAATCTTTACTTTAAAACCTCTAACAATTTATTCTTTGTCTGAAACGCTCTAAAAAAGCGTACTAGCCTTCTCTCATTGTCCATACTTGTGAAAATTTCGTTGTGAATATTATTTTTTCCAACCACTGGAACTCCTTGTTGCCTAAAACTTTTCAACCGAGTACCAAAGAAAACTTTACGCAAATTAATTTATTGATTCCAATTCTGCCAAAATTCTCGGGAACCGTTTATTGTGTGTGTGTGTATTGTGAATTCTAAGCATTTTTCTGAACCCAGTCCTGGGATTTGTCATATTCTAATTTCTGCGACAACGTGAAAGTGTATTATTTTGTTGCACTTGTATTAACCTGTGAAGAGAGAAGAAAAGGTCAGCGCTAGTGGGGAAATAGTTCCCCGGTTGGTTCGCGCACCGGCCAATTACTGTGTTTTAATTCTACTCCTGATTAATTGTTTGACAAGGTTCATTTCAGCAAACTCCACAAATTCTTTACAGGTGTAAGGCTTGTAAAATTCCAACCACACAAAATAAAACCTTACAACAGCAGCCTATTTATTGAAAATTTGACCTTGAGCAACACACTCTGAAAATGCAACAAATGATTTGCCCAGTCATTGAAATGTTTTCCATCAGCTGTGGATGATTATCAAATGATGTTTCTTGGGGGGAAAAAAGTATGCTGATCCTCAACCCAGCACCTGCTACAAATCAGAAATCTGAATAAAAATGTAAACCAGCCTCTATGAAACATCCACTGTCCAAGGACGACGCGTCACTAGACGAACGACTCGATTATAATTTTTTGCATTCAATTCAATTCTTCGATTGATCATTAGATGGATTTGGCCAGAGAGGAAAAATGTGAGTTCCTGCCTTTCCTCGCTCCAAAAGAGGTCATTCTCAAGGACGGAAGAATTGCTGCTGTCGATTTTGTGCGAACTGAACAGGATGATGACGGAAAGTGGATCGAAGACGAAGAGCAAACAACGAAGGTCAAGGCTGATTTCGTCATTTCTGCCTTCGGTTCTGGGCTATACGACGAGAAAGGTATGTCACCTAATTATTATTATTTTATTTCAAAAAATCTATAACATGTAAAACTATAAGATAACTCGGAAAACTAAACCCCGCTTTCCAAGAGAATGTGAATTTAATTACCGTTCAAATCGTTGCTTTATTTGTTCTTGTTTCACATTTCCGTCTGCTCATTATGATTGAAACCTGAAAATACATTTTAAATAATTATATTCTCTTACTTAATATTCCTTCAACTTCCCAGTGCATGTGTTCAAGTTTAAAAAAAAAGCATGATAAATATGTGCGAACATTTGCACGCCCCTCTTTACTTTTCCCGCTTAATTTTTAAAGAAGCTTAATTTTCAAATAAAATGTTCGGCCCTTGAAACATCATGGGCTATATCGTAATTTTTTTTTTTACAGTCATACCTACTTTGGAAATAATAACCGAGGTCTCGCCCAAGTGGGACAGCCCTCGTTTAAATTACTACAAATATTTTTTTTCTTCAAATCCCGACTTTTTCTGTCGAAATTTCAATATTTATGCCCTCGTATTCCTTTCCCATCAGTCATTCAAGCCATGCAACCCTTGAAGCTGACTGACTGGGGCACGCCGGTCGTGGACCACACCAACATGTCGACATCGGAACCCGGGGTATTTTGCGGCGGTGACGTGGCTGGTGTCGCGGAAACAACCGTCGAGTCTGTCAACGACGGCAAAGTCGCCGCGTGGCACATGCATGTTTACCTTCAGGCCCTGCGCGGTAATCGAGTCCCGTCATCTGTCCCGTCATTGCCGAAATTCCACACCCCCATCGACGACGTTGACGTGTCGGTGACTCTTTGTGGACTCCGGTTTGAGAACCCCTTTGGACTAGCTTCCGCACCCCCGACAACGACGTCAGCCATGATTCGGAGGGCCTTTGAACAGGGCTGGGGGTTTGCCTTGACCAAGACCTTTTCGCTCAACAAGGATGTGCCGACGAATGTGTCGCCGAGGATTGTGAGAGGCACGACGTCGGGAGAGGTGTATGGCCCCGGGCAAGGCGCCTTTTTGAACATTGAGTTGATTTCCGAGAAGACGCAGGAATACTGGATTCAGAGCATCACTGAGCTGAAGAAGGACTTCCCCAACAAGGTCTGCTGTCTTTCTTTTTCCTTTTCTTTCCACCCTTATTCATACATGGTGGTATACCTCGCAATTCGACCCTAATCCGTTGCCGAACTAGGGTAAATTGGGAATTGGTCAAATTTTGAGACACTCCCTGAAATTCAAAAATTCAAGTTTTAAAAAAACGCACAGAATGGCCAAAGCTGGTCAAATTTCAGGGAATAGGTCAAATTGCAGGTCAACCTCCCTGCCAATTTGACCGTTAAATTATTGCTGGATGGTCAAATTGCAAGTTACCACCTGTGTACGAGGGTCTTGACAAAAGTTTGTGCAATCATGCAAAAGATGTCATACAATTGAGCTGAAAAAAATGTATTCTATAGGGAAAACATATTCTTTGGCCCAAAAAAAAATTCAGTTCTGTTTGACAATTTGTTTCAATGTTTTTCAAAATGCACCCCTGCAGAGTTTTTCTCTCCAGTCAAAAGATGAGGTGTCCTTCCTGCAGATTTTTGTTGTTGTAGCTCAGCTTTCCTCTCAGAATTCTTGAAATGAAAATGGCGGAATTGCCTTGGAAGATCTGATGGAGGCAACCCTTAGAATGAATGCCACGTTGATTTTAAGAATTCTGAGGGGAAAGCTGGGCTATAACAACAAAAAAATCTGCAGGAAGGGCGCCTCATCTTTTGAGTGGATAGCAAAACTCTGCTGGGGTGAATTTTGAAAAACATTGAAACAAATTTTCAAAAAGGACTGATTTTTTTTTGGGCCAAAGAATATGTTTTCCCTAAAGAATAAATTGTTTTTACCTCATTTGTATGACATCTTTTGCATGATTGCACAAACTTTTGTCAAGACCCTCAAATGTATCTCCTTGTGTGTGTTCAGATTTTGTTGCCAAGAATAATGCAGACACTTCAAAAAAATTGATTGATTGATCAACAAGCTTTCTTTTCCGATTTTTGGCATTCACAAAGTTCAAGCAATGTTCTCACATCCAAACCCCCTCCCTATATACTCACATTTATCCAAACACGATTCCATCACATCAGGATGGGAAATGGAGGAATAAGCTGTATATGGATATTGAAAGAAAAGAAAATGCAACCAAAATTGTACAATTGCACGACTGATGAAAATGCATACACGTTCTTCCCCTCCTTATTATGGTAACAAAAAGAGAGACGAGTTTGGATACCATTTTCAAACTTTAATCCTCGATTGAATTTCTGTGAAATACTATTTTAAGCGGAAGGAAAATCATTCATCTCGCAACTGAACATAAGAGTACTGTATATACATTATATAGCAACCTCTTCAAGTGGTCCTGTGAGTGAGTGTAGGCATTTCGTGTAGATGTCGCTCGGGAAGTGCACGCAATAAGCCATAGGAATTATTGGCCAAACTGTTCTTGAATTTTCGTTTCATCAACGGAGAAAAATGAGAGTTGGTCATCGTTCGATGTTAATCAATCTTTTAAATATTCTGGGAGATGATTGCACTGACTTTTTTTTTCTTTTTCTTGTTCAATGAGAAAAATGAATGACCGAATTTAATGAAGAACGAAAGCGACTGCTTTTTCAATACAGTTAAAATTCGAAAACTCTAACCTCTCTTCGTCGAATTCTTTCCCCAAGTCGTCATTTGACATCCCTTCAAAATAATGCATTAAAAACCTCCCTATAACTCCAATGTTTTTGCTGGTTTCTTGAAATTCGACTCAAACCGGTTCGACTGTATTTGCTGAATTATTATCATTTTTTTTTACAAATTCGGCAGATTTTAATTGCGAGCATCATGGCACCATTCATCGAAGAAGATTGGAAAACACTGGCGAAACTGTCCGAGGAAGCTGGTGCCGATGCTTTGGAGCTGAATTTGTCTTGTCCACATGGGATGGGCGAACGAGGCATGGGACTGGCGTGTGGACAAGATCCGTTTCTTGTCAAAAATATTTGCGCATGGATTCGCAGCGTCGTCAAAATTCCCTTTTTCGCGAAGCTGACTCCGAACGTCACCGACATCGTCGAGATCGCCAAAGCAGCTAAGGAAGGTTCGTGTTATTGGCGTCTCGTTTAGAATATTCCATCTTCTGCATCTTCATCAATTATCCAGTGTTGTTTATTCAAGGAATTTGACGACGAGGAAATTTTCCTTATTTCTTGGAAAACTATGTACACACACGCTTTCTTTCTTGGAAAAAGGATCTGATGAGTCTGATATCGGTATTTTTATCATTTTTGAACAGTGAGTCCGAGCCTGAATGACCTCTCTTAATTTTAAATGTTTTATAAGCTTATATTTTTCATATAAAATGTTCATTCCAGGAAAAAATAAACGTATCACACTCGTTCACGGTGTTACTTATGTTGTGGACAATTCTACTTCTATACAATGATGTGTCTTTCTGGCAAGCATCTACTTCTCATGTTTTTGAAATTCGAGAAATTTCTTGTGATTCTTCTTGATATTTCAAAATAGATTTGAGTGTCCGGAACGAATCGATGGATTTTAAGAATATCCTCAGGGGCAAACCTTGGGTTTCCTCTGATATCCTGAACAGAATTGTTGTCTTGACGAATAATTTTCGTTAGAAGAGGTAGCATTTTAATTACATGGCAATCAAAACATTTTATTGTATGTTTCGATTTCATATAATTGTTTGTGTTTTTTAATATATTTCGCTTTTCGCGATGAAACGATGAGTTTTAGGAATATTCTCAGGGGAAAGCCTTTAATTTCCTCTGGTCTCCTGAACAAAAATTTGCGTCTTGACAAAGAAATTTCGTTAGGTTTAAAAAATTTCATAACTTTCAATAAATCATAACGAGATAAAGCATTACAATCACACGACGTCACGCAATATGTTGTTTCGTACATTGATTACATGAAATTAAACGTTTTTATAACAAATTTCACTTTTGAAAACGAATCGATGGGTTTTAAGAAGACCCTCACAGGAGAAAGCCTTCTCCGCTGAAAAAAATGTGTGCCTTGCCAAATAAATTTCGTTAGACGATAAAGCATATATTTTTCCATGCATTGATTTTGTATAATTTCATCAGTGGCTTTTGAGAATGAAATCTTCATGGAAAAACCATTTCCTGCAAAAAAAATATTTCTGGTCTTGACGAATGGCGATAAATAATATATTTTTCCATGCATTAATTGATTTTATATCATTTCATCAATGGCTTTTGAGATTGAAGTTCTCATGGGAAAGCGATCTCCTGAAAAAAAAAATGTGTTGTCTGGACAAATAGATTTTGTTGGGCGAGTTGAGTCGTCTTTACAATTACATGGCACTCGAAGTATTTGTTTTATATTTATACTGTGTATTGATTTTGCACGACTGAATTTTTTTTCTGAAATTTGTATAAAGGCGGGGCTGACGGAGTGACGGCTACGAACACAGTCTCGGGGCTCATGGGTCTCAACGCCTCGGGGTCTCCGTGGCCAGCCGTGGGCAAAGAAAAGCGAACCACTTACGGAGGGG